TCCCAAAGCTTATTCTCTCAGTGCTCTGTTCTTAGTTTTATCACCAGATTATCTATTTTAAACAAAGAAACACAAAATTTATAGCAGATTCAGGATTAGCATATCAGCTAAAAGAGATTTTAATCCATAAAAGTCTACTTCTAAGGGTAGAACGGCAGGCAGCATAGCAAGCAGATATGCTATCGCGGGCCTAGGGGCTCCCAAGCTTAAGAAATGCTTGGGGAAACTAACTGAACCCACAGTCTCACTAAATCCAAACAAAAACTGTTAGACAAAGGAAAGATCTGAGGTTTAAGGTTAGATTGGCTTCCTAGTGATCTGAGAGCATGGACAAGTTCCAGTAAGATGGACAGGAAAACACCGACAGCTTTCTAGCATCTCATAGCAGTCCTTGGAAATTTAAATGAAATAACATAGAAAAACCACTTAACAGTGCCTGGCACATGGGGACAGTCCATAAATGGCAGTTCTTTCTATTCTTATTATACAAACCACTTTCTCTGGTTATGTAGATGAGTTAGTTACCAAGAAAGCTCTATCTTGCAGAGAGAAGACAATTATACATACAGTCTTGTGAAAAGAAGACTTAGACTTTCCCCCAAGGTGCCTTTCAATGTGCCACAGAGAAGACCCCCTATGCCACTGCAGGACAAAACCAGCTGATGTACCAGTGGCCCTGCCAGCCACAAGTCCTTCCAGTGATGACCCCAAGGGCCTGAGAAGAGGTGGGTAGGAGGGAAACCAAGTGGTACATTAGAGAGTGTGAAACATGGCCTGATCAGGGAAGATAACCGATAATATTTCTCAGTGACAATTACATAACTGATCAATTTCCAAGCGGAGTTCTCAATTACTGCTATACTGAAGAGTCAACGGTAGGATCCTCACAGGACTGTGAAGTCAATAAGCACAAACATACACTCTTCAAGATCTGAAGCCCACCTGACAGCCATTGGCAGACATCTCCACCCCGGGAACCCCCGACTGTGGGAGGGTATGAACATTTTCATTTTTCTTCCCTATCTCTGCCCTTCTCTTTCTCAGCTTTTTTCTCTCATTCTGGCTTCCCTCAACAAAAGCACATGTGGGTGGTGATAATTACTGTGTTAGCTGTTGCTGAAACTAAAAGAGCTGTAAATGTCAGGACACAGATATAGGTAGTATCCAATCCATAAATAAGTGAACTTCCAAAATAACTCCAGTGTTGGAACTGAGATGCTTTCTTGCATGAAGATGTTGCTATAAATGCTGGTCAGGGCCCCACAATCGCCCGTTAAGGCACAATGTAGCTGAAATACTCTCCACCTCCATCTACAAAACAAAATGCAGAAAACAAAGCTTTCTCCCCTCATCAGCTCACAATTTCTGTTTTAAACTATCCTACAGCCCCAACAGCTCTATGGAATGGTCCTCTATTTAATTTCAGACAGGCGGCTCTGAAATTTATTTCTAATAACATATACATGTCTAAAATAAAAGAGTGATATGATGTCAAAGGAAGAATGGGAAGTGTACTGAGTTGAATTGTGGCTCCCCTCTAAATTTTATGTCCACGGAACCTGTGCATGTGGCCTTATTTGGAAATAGGGTCTTTGCAGACCTACTGTGAGCCAGAATATTAACATGAGGCTGCAGTAGATTAGGGTCAGCCATGACTCATCCTTATAAGAAGAAGAAATTCAGACACACAGAGACACAGAGAGGAGAATACCACGCAAAGACAGAGTCAGCGACTGGAGTGATGTGTCTACAAGCCAAGGGACAGGAAAGACTGCCAGAAACCAGCAGAAGTTGAGAGAGAAGCATGGAACAGATTCTGTTCCAGAGCCCCGTGAGAAGAACGAATTCTGCCTATACCTGATTTCAGACATCTAGCCTCCTGAACTGCGAGAGAAGACATTTTTGTCGTTTTAAGCTACCCAGTTTGAAGTAATTCTCACAGCAGCCCTAGGAAACTAATAGAGAAAGTGAATGCCCACAGTTTGGAAATTTGGCAGGAAGGTTGGTACCAGAAAAGAAAAGATTCTTTCTGATATGTCTGTAATGTATTCCCTCCTCCCCTGTTCAACAACTCTCCCAAATATTCTGTCACTGACATTGGTTTGTGCCACTACTGAAAGTTTTTCACATGCTGTTCTGCTCCTGCGGGTACAGCTGAAAAGCACTGTCAGAAACAAATGAAGGTAGAAAATGGATTGAGCCAATAGGCAGAACTCATTTGCTTCAAGAATAGGGTGTTGGGGCAAGAAATATGCAGGGATGTGCAAAGAGCTGCTTCCAAGCTTCAACTCAAGTTCAGCCTTTCATAAGTAGTTGAACAGATGGCAACGCTGCTTACTTCCTAGAGGCTGGCCCATTCTCCCACAGGAATCCGCTCCACAAGCAATGGCCCTGAAGGGCCAAGGAGTCCTTGTAATTCATAAATCCCCTGCAATCTCTACGAAGAAGCTTCAGTGCATGGGTGGATGTGTTTGTGTGTATTTGGGGGTGGGGTGTAGGTATGCGTGTGTGTATGCACGCATGTGTGCACACTCATGGATGCATTTACACACCAAGGCGTATTTTCCTCTTTGGCTATTATCTCACCAGACTGCACAACCTTTATCATTCTCTCTTTTGGTCTCTCCTTGTTTAAATTTATGTCTTTGAGAGCAGATGGTACTCACTTTTTAGTATCCAGAATAGGAGAAAACCAAAAAACAACCACAAGTCTAATGGATTTCACAGTTTTGCCTGGTTTAACCTCAAATATTCATCAATACATGCAGGAAACTGGTTTTCATTCATATTCAACAAATATTTATTGAGCACCTGGATGTGAGAAGCACTGTTTATGTTCTGGGGATACAGAAATGAAAAATTAAGCAAAAATTCTCCTCATGTAACTTAAATTCCAGTAGAGTAGATGGAAAATAGACACAATAAATGCAGTATGTTTGTGATAAAGCTAAGGGAAAAATACAAAGCAGAGAAAGGGGCTTGAAAGTATATGTATAGAGTGCAAAAGTGACATTTTCAACAGAGTATCCAGAGCAGGCCTCACTAAGCAGCCCTAAGAAAGGGATGAAGCAATGTAATAGCTGGGAAAGAGTATTCTAGCAGAAGGGCCATCATGTGCAAAGGCCCTGAGGCAGAAGCATGGCTGGTGCACCTGAGGAAGAGTGAGGAGGCCAGTGTGGCTATAGGGGGGGTCAGATGCAGAGCAGCAGAAGATGAGGTCAGAGGTAACAGCAGGTGAGATTCTGTTGGGCCATGTAAGGTACCAAAAAACACAGACTTTCACCTTGAGTCCTCTGGGGAGCTTTTGGAAGATTTTGAAGAGAATTATCCTTTACGTGGCTGCAAGACCTTTGGTTAGGTCATTGATCTGAGCATCAGTTTTCTTGTCTCTAAAACGCAAAGGCTGTGCCAGGTAAATCTCTAAGTTCTCTTCCAGCTGTAAAAATTGATTACTAGACAGCTAGAGAATGATAGGTTCCCATGGGAAGATAGCTAATAACAACACGACCTTCCCTTCTGCTCATTCCTCTCATAGCTGCCAACGTTGACGGCAGTGACCCAGTACAGGCTTGGAAGGAAGCCAGGCTGCACATATAGCCAGCATGACCTAGGCGAGACATTTTTATGCATGAAACATTTGTAAATTGGGACTTTGAGCGATGGGTAGTGACTGCAGCGAACTGCTGATACTCCCGGGAGCGCGTGGGGGGTCCTAAGCAAGATTGACATGTTCACCTGTGCACTTAACGCCCTGCGCCTGTCACTCCATCCGGGAAACTAGGGCATGCTCTGGAAGGAACAAGAAGGTGGCAAAAGAAGATCAAGTATCTTTACGTTTCACATTAAATGAAAATCTAAAAATAAGCATTTTCTTTTCTAATCACTTCATATCATGCATGGAACGTTCCACTTCATTTTCAAGTCCGTTTACTTCATTGCTGTGAACCATTTGAGCTTTCAATAGTGTCCACCCAGCATGCTTTCTGTCTAAATATGCAAATGTGTGTGTGTTTTTCATTCCCCTTTATTTTCTCTACTCCTTTGTCCTTCCAATTACAAAATCCCACAGAAATTTTAGCTACAATGTGAGGCAAAGGCTCCTGTTGTTTTTTATATCTCTAATTCTCAGTGAATAAACCATAGCTCTTAGGACATCACTTCTCAGAGAAGAGTCGCAACTGGACTACCTATGGCTCAACTCAGATCCACATTTATAAACTTATCATTCCACTAAGCATTTCTTTACTTCTTAGCTTTTTCTTCACAATACTGCCTGAATAACTGTACTACTATTCTCTCCGAACATCTTTTAATTGACTGCGAGATGTAGGAAGCCTTCCCTATTACCATAGACTGTTGCTACTGATACTTATATTCTAACAGTACAGTAGAAGTTCCAGAAAACATGCAAGGAGCAAAACCCACAGTGACTGGATTCCAGACGCCTCATTGTGAAGAAAGGATAACACATCAGAGACCTGTGGCTTCAGCATTTTTTATATCCGTCATGCCAGCACAGTGCCTACAACATAATAAATGCCCCATGAATGTTCATTTCATAAGCAAACGACAAATGAGTAAGTGCAACCGCAGTGAACTCGGCACTAGGGGCTCACCTCCTGTCACCTCTTGTCTCACTTGTTCACATGACTTTGCCTGTTAGAGCTCAGATTCATTCATAAGCCAACACACATATCAGAGTGCCTAAGGGGAATGGCTGAGTGCACAGAGGATGCCACTTGCATGATCTGAGGTCACCAAAAGTAAGAATACAGACCCAATCCTACCAAGTTGCCTAGGCAAGAGCTTTGGGTCTATAAGCAGGTAGACAGGAGACAATTTCCTCTTCCAACTTACTTCCTTCATAATTTCTTCATCATCTTTAGCAATTGGGTCCAGGCAGCAAGAATGCCAGACACAGGCTCTTTTACTTGATTTGGACCACACAGGACTCTGCCCTCCCTCCGGGGAACAGGCCTCGTCCCAGGACTCTGTCTTACCTCGGCAGCAGGGACTCCCTCCGGGGGGCGGCAATGCAGCACGATCATGCCTTCAATGGGAACCTCCCTTCCCTGCGGATCTTGTTCAAAGTTTTTCCGTAAATCTGCAAAGAATTGTGAGATATATGACACTTTGCTCTAGGGCCGGTATTATTCCCATTTGCTCAAAATACAATAAAATAGTGAGCTTAATGTCACAACTGAGATACACACAAAAAAGTCACTTGTTTCAGGAGTTCCAGAATACGAGAATCATTTTCCCAAATATTCACAAGTACTTTTGAAATAAACTTTAACAAAACTGTTCCTAATGCTCTAGATTGATGTGAAGGATAAAAGATTTACTTGGTAGCAGGAAAAAAACCTCATCATTCCATGAGTCTTTGCCAGCATTAGCTGCTTAGCATTTGATGAAACACTTGGCCTAATAAATTGCCATCCACAGCTATTATGCAGTTGAGATGCATGTGACTTTTTTTTTATTAACTAAAGAATGCATTATTAATCTGTAACCTCTGCCATTCCTTAACCCTCTAGGGGGCTCTAGAAGATGATAATAGTGTGAGATTACCTATTAGTCTTTTATTTGTGACCAGGGAGAAGGGGCAACATTCAACCACAACAAAATCTATAACCTGTCCAACCAAACATGTAATTAAAAAATACAGTGCCCTCCAGTCAAACAGCGATGCTGGGTATCTGTGTAGTGCCCTTCATGGAAGGCTTGAGGCACTTTGCAAACAAGCTGCACTATTAACCTTTTACACATGGGGGAAGGGGGACACTTGGAGAGGTTAATTGGCTTGCCAGTGGTCACAGAGAGAGAGCATCAATGCCAGTGATGGGGAAAAACTCACCACGCATCCTGACATCCAGCCTCTGACTGCTACCCAGAAAAGCTTTCTCAGGGAAGAGGGCACACGGATAGTTCAGAGAGAAAGAGCTTCATTTGCATGGCTTTCCCCTTGAGCACATGCTTCAATAACAAAAGTGGGAGTTGGTCTTTGCTTCTTTTGAGGTGTCATAACACTTTGATAATTTTAAAGCACAGGCTTAATTCTTGCTGTCACTTGAAAGCCTGGGATAGTAGAGCAAAGGCAGTCTTACAAGTCTTCCTCAATGGAAACGATTTCCCCCTCCCTCCCTGACAATGTATTTTTCTTCAATTGAGTATCTCAAATTACAGGCTGTGGATTTATTGATTTAATTTTCCTTAGTGCTTACAATAACATGAAATATGTTCCCTGTAAAGAGCAGAGCTCCAGAATCAGTTACCTCTTTATAAATTGTATAAATACGTTAAACTTGCTTTTAGCAAGTCAAAAACTCTCGATGAATAACAAGCACAGCAATGCATGTATTCACTGTCTTCCGAATTTTACTCTTAATGTTTTCCCTCCCAGAGGCAACCGATGTCTTTTGTCAGTAGTGCTATATATTCAGAGATCTTCAGGAGTATATATGAGACAAAAGAGCTTCAAAGGACTGGCACTGCAGGCAGGCGGCAGGATCCATCTTCTCATTTCTCTGTTGTCCCCCAAACTGTAAAGCCAGCTTCCTTCTATTTGAGATCCATAATTGCCACAGTTTTTATGACTCAGAATTTCTGACTCCAAGTGTGGTTAAGGTCACATAACTGATGACAAAACTATGAGTGAAGGAACTTTGAGTAAACCCCAGAATGAAAAAACAGGTTTCCTGCACAATTTGATCACACATTCTCCTTTGTTCTCCCACAAGGGATCTTTGAGTCAAAATTCCCTTTCCCATAGGACTCATTTATTCATCAGGACTGTATCAAAATTAGTCTACTGTAGAGTGTGAGTGACTGACATGAGACATCAGTTGGCTAATGGAAAGGGTTGTGTTTTTGTGGCTAATTTTGTTTGGTTTGTTTGCCATTTTTTCCTTTTCCTTGATTGCTTTGTTTTCAAAAGGAAGTCTCACTCGGTGCTGCTCCATGATGATTATTGCAGTTGTGACAACACCAAATAATCTGTGTTCACCCAGATTATTTGGAATTTCTATTTATCTTCTGCTTCTATCTACTTTCTTTGCTCAATAGAAATGGAAAAGGTAACAAAATGTATAGTTTACAGTTAGCTCCACACTCCAGTACCTTAACTGCATCGGCAGATGAAAAGACAGCTAGAATGAAGCCATTTTTCCTCCCCATTCTCAACTGCTACATGAAATAGATAATTAAATATGTGTATAAAAAGGAAAACCCTGCATCAACATTGGGATATAGGAAAGGACATTGTCCACAAATAAGAAACCTTGAGAAATTTCTAGTATATCTCATAAACCCAGGATTGAAGAAAGGATCCACCCAACCTCTTGCTCTTCCCAATTGACATTTGAAATCATCAGAAGAGTTCCAACAAGAATCACATCCTCAAGGTGAAGATACAAAGATTAACAGCAGTGGAGCGGGGAGTCAAAGAACAACTGGGGTGTCATATTTCTGGATTCAACTCACAACAGGCAGCTGACCCCACACCAGGTATCACATCAAGTGAGAAATCCAAGTACCACTGAGTCCTGGAGTATGTCTAATGCTGCTGGCATTTTGGACTCCCAAGGAGGGCAAACATACCAGACAAATTCCAGCTAGCTACTGAATATACTAAAAATTATGGAAATAAACTGTTAGACACAGAGGTAAATGCTTCCTGTTATTCTCACCATAGGTCATCCAACCTATTCAGTTTCTGAATTGGCAAACTAAATACTTTTATCACCTATGTTAATTCCAAGGCTTGAAAGATTCGGATAGGAACCTATGCAACTTCTAATAGTAGGGAAAACATCCCCAGCCGCATAAAAAGAATTCTACTACAAATGAAGGAGACAAACCATAGAACTGAAATTAAATGGCTTTCTTTAAGACAAGAAACAAGAAGCATTTTTAGATAACTTCTAATTTAAGTTCTTTAAAGTCAAAAGAAAATAGCAACTGAGAACATAGAGTAGGGAGTTATAAATAGGATAACATCTGAGATCAAGAAAACTGCCACTATGCAGGAGGGAAAAAAAACATAACTACTGAATTCGAAATAATATATATCATGGAGATGGTAAACAGCATACTAAATACTGCAGAAAACTGAACTAGTGAAACAGAAAAAACGTGTATCAGTCAGGATCGAGATAGGGAAACAGAAAGCACACCCGTTGTTTCAGCAGAAAGTATTAATGTAAAGAATTGGAAGACCTAAAAAGGCAAAAGGGAAACTTCTAGAAGCAAGACCCACACTAGGGATGGGGGATGGAGGGACAAAAGGAAGAGAACAGAACTGGGTTACAGAACATCGCAGCTTAGAGAGGACTTAATGTCCGGAGAGGGCACTGGGTGTTGGTGCTGGCACCTCAGGAACTTAGAAGAGGGACCCAAAAAGTCAAGACCCAGACCTCCGAAGAAGAACTGCCTGCCAGACTGGTGCTGGCATCTCTGGGGGCATAAAGAAGCTGGTTCTGAAAGTATTTGAAAAAAATAAGCCCGAAACAAGAACCAACTGCCACGTCCAAGATGAAGATATTTTGCTAGGGAGATGCTGACAGGGACAGAAAATAACCAGGAAGAAGCAGCCTTTCTCCCTCTTCCACCGTCCAGTCTCCTGTGGAGCCCCCTACTGGAGGAACCTTACAGGGGAGCCAGGATCTGGCAAGGAAGCTCCGGCCCCATCTTCACAAATTATAGATCAGTGGTTCTAGAGATGAGAGACAATAGTTGGGTAACCAACAAAACCCAGTTTAAGAAATTTCCTCTATAGGGCTCTTACAACTGCTGACTCCATGTCTGTTTTCCTCACTAGACCATCAGTTTTTTTAGGGTGGGCTTTATGTCTGAGATGTTCACCCTTACATTCCCAGTGCCTATTGAACATCCGAAACACAACAAGACCTTAACGAATACATGTGAAATAAGAGCTAAGAGGACAATGATAAAATAATAATGAATTTGCCAGGAAAAGGAAGAAAGAAATAACAAAAGATAATGTTGAGATAGAGAAATACAATCTTAAATATAATAAAGATTTTAGAAGAAAACAAGAAGCTGAAAGAAAATAAATGAAAATCAATTTAACAGTGATAATAATTCTTCTCTGAGCTGAAAAAAGACTTGAGTTTGCAAAAGAGCTCATTGGATACAAGGCAAAATAGTTTTAAAAAGAAAAAAAGATCCTAGATACATCATAGTTGAAATTTTGAATTTTAACAGAATTAAGAAAATTGTAAAAATAATGATTTTCCAAGTATCTTTGTAGTAAACAAGCATAAGCAACTAAAAAATTCAGGGATTGGAAGAATTAATACTTTAAAAATGCCTGTAGTACCCAAAGCCATCTATAGTTCAATGCAATCTCTATAAAAATTCCAATGGCATTTTTCACGGAAAAATAAAAGAAAAATCCTAAAATTCATATGGAACCACAGAAGACTCCAAAGAGTGAAAGCAATCTTGAGAAAGAAGAACAAAGCTGGAGGCACCACACTTCATGATTCAAACTATACTACAAAGCTATAGTAATCAAAACAACGTGGTACTGACATAAAAACAGACACATAGATCAATGAGACAGAATCAAGAGCCCAGAAATAAACTCCTGCATATATGGTTAACGAATATTTGACAAGGGAGCCAAGAATACTCAGTGGGGAAAATATGTTCTCTTCAATAAGTGAGAAATCTGGACATATTCACATGCAAAAGAATAAAATTGGAACCCTACCTTACACCACTCACAAAAATTAACTTGAAATGGACTAAAGACTTAAATGTAAGACCTGAAACTATAAAACTCCTAGATAAAAACAAAGGAAAAAGATTTCTTGATATTGGTCCTGGGAACAATTTTTTGGATATGACACCAACAGCGCAAGCAAAAAAAAGCAACAATAAACAAGTGACACTACATCAAATTAAAAATTTTTTGAGCAGCAAAGGAAACAATTGACAAAATGAAAAGGTAACCTGTGGAATAGGCAAATATACTTGCAAATCATATATCCTACAAGGGGTTTATATCCAAAATATATAAGGAACACATACAACTCAATAGCAAAAAAACAAACAATCTGATTAAAAAATGGGCAAAGG